AATTTGCTACCTGAGAATTACTAGAATAGTCCAACTAAAAGACAAATTTTCAGGCTATTGATTTTTTGGCACATGATTATTATGTTCAGTCATCTCTCATATGGAGACTTTAAAAAATAAGATAGATCTAGAAACTTTTCATCAGAAGAAATGACAAAAGTTTAAAAGATTCCATTATCTTTTCATTTAATAGTGATATTTATCTATAGTATGTTTTAAATATTGACTATGGTTTTACCTCTAGTTGATTCAGATTTTTTAAACAAAACTATGGTTTAATTAAAAAGGCAAAAGGTAACATTTTGTCAGGTTTACTTTCCCCATATACATATCGACTCTGGATGTGCAGGACATTTATTTAGAGCTGCTGATTTACTTAATGATGTAGAACTGTTCAGACCCATCATGTTCTTTCCCAATTACACTGTAAGTTTATCAGTTTTAGATATTGGGTACTTATCACACTGGATGATGTACATTTTAAATGGAAATGTTAGAATTATTGTGAACTTTGAGAATATGAAGGGAAAGCTGCACACATTAGAAAAATATAAAATAGAAATCTTCTTTCTTCCACTGGGTGTTAGGCCTTGTTCTGAAATAAAATGGTCAGAGGGTGTGTGTGAGTCAAACATACTGTCTTTTTGAACTGAGCAACCTGAGGTTGTGTTGCCTTTATTTTTTATTTCATGCGTAGGTAAGAGTAGCTTTTTTCCTTTATGTCATTTTTGGGAGATTTCCGTGTCATAATCAGATATGCTTTTCTTCTAGAGAAGCTGGTCTGTTTAGCTTAAATCAGTGTGGTGAGGTGCAAAGTAGCCCTGTGTTTTCCTGAATGGATTTACTCTGCCATATGGCAGGTTAGTGAGTCGCCACGACAGATTTGTAATGGGAAAAGGGCTGTGCAGGAAAGGATGTGCGTGATCAGCAGATTTATAGATCAGAAAATGAAATCGGAAGAAAGAATTTCCAGAGTGCCCTTTACATTTGACAGCTCTCCATGGAGAGGGTGTGGAATGATTTTTTAGTGTTTTTCTCTTTTTGGCTTTTGGTTGTTCCAGCCTATTTTCTCTAGCACAGGAGTTCATTTTGTAAGCCATCAGTGTTCTCAGTGTTGTGTTGTTGTATTCCTATTTATAGAAATGTTTTTTGTAGGATTTGTGCTGTATTTTATATGATAAGATCTCAGTAGCAATTAAATTCCTGAAGACATACCAAGGCTGGAGATTTGCCAGCCATTCGGTTTTGAGTTCCAAGAGGAGGCTATTCAGATATGATTTAGCAAATACTGATTCTTTTGAAGGAAAGACAACAAAAAAGCTGAGTGAGCTAAAGATAGTATGTCCTGTGTTTAAGTCTGTGCAGTTTTAATATTGTAACCACTGGCCACATATGACTATTTAAATTTAAATTAAGTAAAATCAAATAAAATTAAAAGTTCAATCCCACAGTCTTACTAGCATATTTTAGGAGCTCAGTAGTTACATGTGAGTGGTTACTACAGCATTGGACAGCACAGATAGAGAATATTTTTATCATTACAGAAAGTTTTATTGAACAATGTTGGTCTAAGTAGAAGAATTTAAGAAATAAAGTTCTTTGATTTCTGTGTTCTTTTCTAAAATTTACTGGATAAATGCAGAGGGTTTAAGGTTTTAATGTGCAAATGAATCATGTGTAGAACTTGTTTAAATTGGAGATCTTTAGACCTCTTCCTAGACTCTTGATTCCTTGGGTCTAAAGTACTAACCTGAAAATCTGTATTTATGACAAGAAGTCTAGGGAATTCTGGTGCTGGGTAGGGGATTGAGTGTCTAAAATTTTGGAAAATATTAAATTAGTGAGAAACTTGGGAATTGTCTATCTCTTGATTTTCCCTTTTCATTCCTTCATTACTAACTTTGTGTCCCTAGTAATTAGTTGGAAACATCATGTGTACTCAAGTTGTACTCTCAATTAGTATTAAGTAGCAAAAAGAAATTTCATTTATTACCATTTAATATTTTTAATGTATGTGTGTTTTGATTTGGCAGAGCCTAGAAAAGCAAACAAAAATGGCTATTTCAATACTATTCCAGACTGTGTAGCAGGGTAACTCTAACAGAATACTTTTGACCTTTAACAGTTGAGAACCCACAAGTCTTAGAATTATACAGGAGTAAAAACAGAAGTATAACCTGTGATGTCCTCTCTGAAGGAGATGATAATTGCCCTCCTGCCCTCATGGGAGACGTTCCAAGACTCCCAGTGGATGCTTGACACCACAGACAGTACCAAACCCTATATATAGTATGTTTCTCCTGTATATAGGCTGAGTGCAGTGGCTTAGCACTTTCACAGGCTGAGGTAGGAAGATCCTTTGAGGCCAGGAGTTTTAAGACCCTCCTGGGCAATATAGTAAGACCCCATCTTAAAACAAATTTCATTTATAAACTAGCACACAGAGCCTGGGAATGTGAGGTTGCAGTAAGTGAGGATGACTCCACTGAAAGAGCAAGACCTTATGTCTAAATAAATAAATAAACAACTAATATATAATAAAACAACAGTAAGGAAATAGAACAATTATGATAATATACTATAATAAAAGGTATGTGAAGGTAGTTTTTCTCTCTTTTTCAAAATATCAAAGGTACTATATGTACCTGGGGTAACTAAAACTTTAGAAAGTAAAACTGCAGATAAGGGGGAACTACTGTATATCTAGTTAGAAAATGGATAAACATATCCAGAGACACGACCTGTGGGCACTTACCAATAAGTCAATAATTGTGAAAATAATTTATTGGAAACTAAATCCTGACATTTAAAGAGAAAACATGATCTCAATCAAATCAGATTGAGAATAGCCTCAGTTGCTTTCCTTTGTATGATTTGAGGGTCTTATGTAGAGACATGGTTTCTGCCATCTGGAATGGACAAAAAGGGAAAGATTCTCTCTCT